ACACACACACACACACACACACACACACACACACACACACACACACAGTGTAGAGCCAGGTGGCTATAACTCAAACATGATATAATAGCTCTTCCCCTCCTCAAGGCGTGCATTAAAAACTGAATCAATCATTGATATGAATTACTGTGTGGTTTCTTTGGTGGTGTGTGAAAGATAGAGATAAGGGAGGACGGAGGCAGCCAGAGGAATGGAGGCAAAGAGATGTAATTGTGTGTGTGGCTGGGCTTCAAGGAATACACAGTTTTAGCAACATGCATACACTCACATGCGTGCAAACTCACGTATCACGTATCACCTCACGCATATGTGTGCGCCTGGTCATTGATTATGCCCCAGAGACGGCTCTATAATGGTAACGTGAGGCCATGTCGATAGTCATCCAGCTGGCTTTTAAGAACGACAGCTGAGCAATGAGCTCTGAATCCAGAACATGTCAACATCTGTCACCCCACTGACCTACTTCCTATCATTCTCCGTTACACACTGACCTTGTTTACAAGTGGATCTAAATCACGTCACTGATGTCTTTCACGGACATTTTAGAAACATTTTCAGGCCATTTACAGCACTGACGCTCAACGGACATTGCTCTGGAGGATGACGCAACCATGTTTGCTCACTTGCTAGAGCACACTAAGAATTAGCACCTCTTTAGGATCGTAGACAGGGTGACCCCTGACAACTAAAGCAAATGTCTTCTGCATTGCATTGAGAGGAAACAACTCTACATTTGTTTGTCCCTTCCCATTTCATATTTGCTTTAGGTTTTTGCCAGCTAAATGGGAATCCCAGTGGGTGTTTGACTCTATAAGGTTGTCACAGGACCAGTATGCATCACTTTACTGTCCCTTACTGTTTCCCTCATTGTATTTTCATTCACAGCAGCTGTTTTTTTGTTTTTCTCCATCCTCTACCTGGTCTCTCAACTTGCATTCCCTTTTTCATAAAAGAACTCCCAACTCAGGTCTGATTTCCTAAAGCAAAGTGACCAGCCTGATGAACCAAAGGAGCACTCCAAAAAGGACAGGAAAGGCAAAAAGAAGAGGGACAAGGGCTCTAAAGGCAAACGCAAAGGCAAAGGCAAGGGCAAGAAGAGATCCAGAAAGAAAAAACATGAAGAGGAGGGTCTCGAGGATGGCTTCCTCAGAGTGTCCACAACAGTGCCTGAGTATCTATCCCAAGGACCTTTTCAGCCAACAGATTTGCCAGAAATCCCCACTGAAGTGCTCGACGAGACCCTCATGGAGATGCCCACACATGAACCTGACTCCACAGCTGAGGCCCCCACTGTGGTGCCCAGCACTTTGCCTGAATCAAAGGTCACTGAGGAGGTAGACAAGTTTATTTGTAGATGCCCTCCACCCCAACCCCCCTCCTGCCATTTGCAGTTCTAACCGATCACGTCCTAATACCTCCTAACCATAGTGAGCACCTCTTCCCTCTCCAATTGCTTACCACCACCACTAACCAGCACCATCCTAATCATCACCTCTACTACAACCCTTCCAAAAAAACATGAAGAACGCATCCTAAATGAGAAATGTTTGATGATCTCACTGTATGACGTGTGCCTGCGTGTGTGCTTTTTGTAGAAAATGCTGTAGTACATGTATACTACATATACCAAAGGTAAATGCATGGTATGCATGGTGCATACAGTTGACTATATATCTTCCTGTATGCAAACAGACAGAATGAGTATTGGGTTGACAGTTCATTCAATGTGAATATATGCCTACATTTTTGAAATTATGAATAAACCACAACTGTATATCATCTTTTTTTTTTTAAATCCAATCAATTTTAACTTACCACTGCACCAAACAAGGATCGTTTGTGTATGTCTCCTTCATGTTTATTATTAGCTAATTTGCTAAGTAACCTAATTTGTCATACTCATGCTGTTTCTATAGCTGTTGCCATGCTGCCTCAAGTATCTGATGTAGTCCATCAGCTAATTACACTCAAGCATTATAATCAACTCAGTCCTGTAAAACCCACCTGTTTTGCAAACATTTATACTGTGTATTACAAAATGTGCCTTTACTTGGAAGTGCTAGGCGCTAGCTAATGAGAAGAGCTCATATAGTCCCCTGGTTCATCTTTTGCTATGACTAATTTGAGCCCGTGTGTCGGCCTGCAGGAGGACAGGCCAGTGAAGAAGCCAGTTATAGAGGAGCATGGAGAGGACCTTTACGGTGACCTCTACGACGATCCCTCAGTTTCTACGGTAACAGATGGCCCGATTGTTAATGAATACGCGGTAGGTTAAACGCAAACGCAAGACATGCCTTCACCTCAGCACAAACACACGGAGAGCTTGTTTCGGTATTCGCTTCACCTGAAAGGGTTTTTATTTTTCCATTCCTTAACAGGTTCTCGAGTATGAAGATTACAAGAATGACACGGAGTCAGAGTACGAAGAGTACGAGGTATATGACGACGGCTTTGAATTTGCGGAGCGGGAAAGTGCAGAGACGTGGGATGGAGAGGTAAATCTCACGCATCAAGTGAGAGGTCACGTCTTCAATTGCCTGTGTCAAGTGATTTCTAGCAATCCAACAATCTATTCACCTATTTCTCTTCCTCAGGTTAGCCTCAGAGCAGAGAAGGGCCAGAAGGGAGAGCCAGCTATTATTGAGCCGGTGAGCTTCAACTGACATTTCATGCATAGCCTTAGTAGCTTTAGTCACGAGCATGGGAATGAGTTTATGCTCTCCTAATGTACATTTCATTCCATCTGTGCTTGTGTCTAGGGTACATTAGTGGAAGGACCCCCAGGGCTACCAGGGCCACAGGTAAGCCTATTCAGCCTGAACACAGATAAAAAAAAACATGTCTCTGTGATTGTACAGGATGTGGCAAAATGTTAGAAGCAGGAACTATCCAGATGTGCTGCAAAATGTAGAGAATTTTGGATTCTAGCCATCAGGATGTGGTGTTTTCGGAATAGGAAACAAGGGTTTTCAGGGGTGACCACAATACAAATACACCCCTGCACTGTAACGCAATGCAATGTGGCACTTTGCGAAAGACTATGTCTATAAACACATGATGAGGTGATTGATTTGATTCAAAAACTACATAAAGAAGAAGAAGAAAACAACATAAAAAAATAAAAAGGGGTTATTGTCAAGCATTTGGGGGGTTGGAATATTATGTAGAAGAGTGTCATTTTTGAAAAACTAAGCCACAATCTTCTTCAATGTTTGTTTGATTGCTGTGATTGTTTCCTTCACAGGGCCTCACTGGCCCACCTGGACCAACAGGCCCTCCAGGACCATGGGGAGATCCTGGCGAATTGGTGAGTGTGGCTTAGACCTGGACCTGGGCCCATTGGCTTAGTTTCACTCCAGTTTGACCCTTTCACCTGTGGGACAGACCTGTGGGTTCAACTGTGACCTCACACTGAAACATGTCCAGTCCTGAACTGAACATTCTGGCTTCAGGGACTGATGTTGATTCACACGTGTGACCTGACTTTCTTTTGGTGTGTGTTGCTCGAATAAGTGTATTTATCCATTATTCATCACAATAGAACACAGACACTGTTTAACATACTTACGTCTGTCCACCAGTGATTAATACATATAAATTAGCGCATACATTTAATGATTTATGTAAAACTTATGGGGACATCCTGTAAATATTCAATGCTTCAGTTAGAATATCATTAGTCTGCCGCATGGTTTACTAGACTTTTATGAATTTTTGAGATTATATATACGTTCTTAAAGCCAAACAAAAAGGTTTACCAATGAGACAAGATAATTAAACATATTATTTTAACCACTTGTGCTTCACTTGTTCCTAGAAACAAGTTGTCAGTTATTTGACAACAGGCAGTACCAAGAAAATGACACTTGATCCATAAAAATGTTCCATCAGTAGAGGAATGTATTTTACCAATTTGAATACTTATCAGATGACTAACAGTAATCTGATGAACACAATTGTAATGACTCAATGCTGCATTAAATGGCTTGTTAAAATAGATATTTACAATGTGTAAACAGAAGATAAGGATGTGTGTGTGTGTGTGTGTGTGTGTTTGTGTAACATGCCCTATGGAAACGGAGCAACTGTTGTTTGATTAGATTCTCACCACTTAGACCCTCTCTATTTCTCTCTCTCTCACACACACACACGCACACACACACACACACACACGTACACACACCCCCACCCCCGCCCCCATAGGCACAGTAGCCGACGTTTATCCCTTTCCCCGACCTTCCTTTTCAGGGTCCCCAAGGACGTCCTGGTCTTGCTGGGGTTGATGGGATTCCAGGTCCTCCAGGAACCCTGTTGATGCTACCAGTAAGATCTTACAGCGCACTCACGCATGCTCACGCACACATAACAAACATGCACACAGAGCACACCATATTCCCAATGTGGTGTGGTGGCACGACCACAAGGGGGGGCTGTGTGATTGAACTTCATTTACATTTAGGGAATCCTGCAGTGGGAACTGATTCCTCTTTTTCCATTGCCTCCAGTTCCAGTATGGTGGTGATTCCCAGAAGGGACCAGTGATGTCTCCCATGGAGGCACAAGCACAGGCTATACTGCAACAGACCAAGGTACACTTCCCAGAAACACGCACGTTGGTGTCATCATGCTGTATCGTAACACCAGTGACTGTTGACATTGTCATTTCATGCTGTATGAAGACCAATTTATTGCATAATAAAAGTCAAAGGTACATAAACCACCCAGTTATTTTTTTCTTCCAGCTGTCACTGAAGGGACCTCCAGGTCCACTGGGTCTAGCAGGGCGACCAGGCCCACTGGTAAGGCACTCTGACCTTGACCAAATTTGCACCATATCTCAAGGGCTCCTGCGACCTTTAACCTCAACTTCACATTCTGCCTGACCAGGCACACGCTCTACTCTCTCCCTCCCACCCTAAACTCATCTTTATGCATGCTCAGTATGTTCACATTGCTTGTGAAGTCATTGCAGGGTTGCAAAAGTAAACATAACACAGATTTAAGAAAATGTTGTTCTCAGTTTATTTGTATCTTCTGTTTTTTTGGTGCTAAATCTGAGTGAAGAGCTGAATTGCTGCTGTGCGTTATGCCGTGCTTAAATGAATGCTTGTTTTTATTTTGCAGGGAGTACCAGGTCCCACTGGGCTCAAAGGGGACAGCGGAGAAAGTGGCCCTTCCGTAAGACCAGACATTATTTTTACCACACTACTAGCTTTTTCCACATGATTAATTTCCTTTTGTCCTCCTGCCTTTTTTTTGTTACACATCTTTCTATTTGTCTTCTACTCTTCCTTTCTTATATAGGGATCGCATGGGTTGCAAGGCCCTCTAGGAACTAATGGAAAGCCAGGAAAGAGGGTGTGATATTTAAAATGTTTCCACACTGAAAATGTATCTGCATATTGTGTTAAAACATACTATAATATCTAAATATACAGTATACCATATATACTATAGTACTGTAAAGCAAAACATAATTGAATTGTGTATCTTATAGGGGCGTGCAGGAGGTGACGGAGGTCGTGGAGCTCCAGGAGAAGCAGGATCTAAGGTAAGGTCTTACAACCTTACTGCTTATTTGGATATTAGTTGAGGTTCAAAGCTGTGTGAATGCCACATTGCCAGTTTTTAGACCATATTGCTCAGGTTTGGTGTTAAGTTTCCATGAATTCAATTTCCTGTTTCCATCAACACGACAAAACCACACGTGTTTAGGCGGCAAGGTCCTGTACGATAACAAACTATCCCTACTTTCAAGTGTAAGCGTCACGGTAGCTCCCAGCGTATTATATGTATTGACAACAAGGCAACTCAATACTTACAATACTAGTGCTGCAGGAAGAGCTTAGCAAATAAATCAGGTTCCCTTGATGCCGGGTCTGACAGAACAGCAGAGTCTTTATCAGTCAAAGCAGCATTTTAGCAGACCGACAGCTAATCTGAAAACTCCCTCTCCCCAACACGTACTCGGAGCAGATGGGAGGCTCTGCCAGGGGAGACTTTCAGAACAATTCTGCAAATGTTTACACATTACCGTATGTGTGTGTTTCAGGGTTTAATGCACTTGCTTCTCTGTTACTTTTCAGGGTGACAGGGGTTTCGACGGCCTGCCAGGTCTCCCAGGAGACAAGGGACACAGAGTGAGTTAGATTTGGTAACTTAAAGCATTGTCGCTGTATTTATTTCTTCATTTGGGTTACTAACGCGGCATGCATCAACACCTCACACGTCATATGGCAGGTGATTGTTTGCACATTATGATCATGATTATTGTGATTTCTATGATGACAGCGTACACTGCTGGGTTCTGCTCTGCCAGAAACAGAACAGTCCCAAATATCTTGATGCTTGTGGCTAATGCTTTTATCTTGTAGGGGGACAGAGGAAAGCCGGGTCCTCGTGGGCCTGTTGGAGAGCCAGGAGAAAAGGTGAGTGCACGGTACTTTGCAAAATTTATTTGCAACAAACAAAGCCTGGAAAACGCATCCTGCAGCAATGCATTGTTTTTCTGGATTTTTCCATCACCCAAGATTTCCAGATCAGTGAATCAATTCTACAAACCGTTTATAAGGTAAAGCACCGTAGATCAAAGCTTTACTGAAATGAAGTCATAAACTCTTGAATTTAATTACGACACGCTGGCCTTAGTTCATTCAGTGTTACGGTTTGCAAAAGACATGAAAGCTATGCAGTGCATCCTGGCTTAGAATTGAAAATATGAAAGATAGAAGCGCTGTCAAGATAGTATCAATCCATTCAGGCGGGTTGGAGAAATTTGAGGGAGCGCTCCATTAGTCTTTGCTCGAAGATAGTTGAGCCTTATCTGTCAGGCGGTGAATTTCATTAACGAGCTATTTTCACAGATTATGTCTGCGGGGATATAAATGTATCCACTGCCGAGGTTGACTTAGAAAGGTGCATGAGATGTATGTGTTGAATCTGTTTCCGTCTTTGTTAAATCAGGGATCTGATGGACCTGCGGGGACAAGAGGGCAACCAGGCGAGCCCGTGAGTAACACTATCTGGAACGACATAATGCAATATTTAATGTCTATTACTTCTCTACGTAGAAAATACTTAATGTAGTGGATGTATTTATCAAGTTGGGCTTTGGGTTCTCAGAAATACGCTCACACAGAATCACAGAAACTGATGATTTCCACGACAAACCACAAGGGGGATTGTAGGAGATCACTAGATTTAAGCTCAAGCATCAGTTTCAGCCAAAATCTTACAGAAGAATTTACACAAGCACAAAATCTACTGCTCATACTGTACATGAAGAGAACTTTAGAAACACTGCATGATATTTCACAATATACAACATTTATTTTTAAAAACTAGGACGGTCAAACCGTATGAATGCAGTACTGCCACAATGTTCACCGTAGCATTAAGAGAGAAAGGTCAGCTTGGACACAAGAATATACAATGACATCACATACATAACATGTGTTATTCTTCCAGCAAAGTAACTTTGGATCAGAGAGAAACCACAACGATCTGTAGAGCACTGTTGCAGAAGCTGTCATTTTGTTTTTATGTGTAGCTCTGCGGCGAACACCGGTTGATTGGTTGTGACTCACTCTCTGTCTTCCTCCCAGTAGGTGAGGTTGGGGCTCAGCGGGGTTCTGTCCCTCCAAATGGATCACCCAGTTCAGGGAGAAATAGAGTGCCATAAGACCTATTAGGAAAGCTGTGTAAAACTACAAAGATACAAGAAAGGAGAGGAGTCGGCTGTTTTTGATGAAAGAGAGAGAGGGAGGGGAGCGATGGGAAAAGTCAGGCAGCGAGAGACAAACGCGAGGCAGAAATTTGGTTTGGATGTGAAAGAGATAAGAGAGAAGGAGAGAGGAGAGAGGAGAGAGGGAGAGAGTCGGAAAGGGAAGAGATAAAATCCTGGCCTGAATGATTATATTTCCATATCAATCACTTCCCTGGAGATCACAGATGTGGCTTTGGAACAGGTGGCTTGGCCAGCCTACAAAGAGGAAGGCTGACAAAAACAGAGCGCACAAACACTCCCGCAAACACAGGCTAGTGCAGTCTCAGTAGCTAGCACATATAAAGCCAGATGTGCCCACACACACAAAAATATATTATTTGTTTCTCCCCGTTCCTCTCTCTGCTTAGTTCAGATTTATGATTTAGTATTCCACACTCAACCCATCTCATCATGAATGCAGGTTAGCTGCTGACTATTTGCTCTGTTTTGTCTGCAGGGTTCTCGGGGTCTTGTTGGGCCAAGGGGACCAGCTGGCCCACCTGGTCAGTCGGTAAGTCAACATCGCCTTGATTGCTGAAGATTAGAAGCTCTTCAGTCTCTTCATCTCTACAAAGGGACCTCAGTTGCCTGCAAATCATCAATATGCCATTGAAGGAAGCTATTGAACTGTGTCTCTTTTTTTCGATCAGACGTTGATATTTCATCCATTTTTTCCTGACATCTTGTATTTGTCAGGGTATTCGTGGAACTGATGGAGTACAAGGGTCAAAGGGCAACCTGGTCAGTCGTGCTACCTTCATCACCCACTGTTGTATATGTACAAATAGTTGTATGAAAATGAGCATGAGGGTAACACTTTTTCAAAGGGATCTCAGCTACTGAAAGATCATCTGAAGTGGATTAGTGTGGCCTTTTAAAGAAGGTTTTAGCCAGTCATGTGATAATGAGCTCATGACAAAGGGCAGAGTTTGTGACTATTTGTTGTTGTCAGGGTCCATCTGGAGAGATAGGGCCCCCAGGTCAACAGGGAAATCCAGGAGTCCAGGTACTGTACCAGCACAAAAAAACTCTCCTGTCGCTATGAGAGTTAATCCACTCATTACACATCCTATACATTTATTCAAGTCATATAGACATGCTTCAAATATGCACCACCACTTGCAAGTTGCATAACATATTTGCTCTCTCTCTGTCACACACAGACACGTTATTGTGGCACAAAAACTTCCTGTTTCAGTTCTATTTTTGACTTCAACTGAAGGTTTAATTGCTCTTCTAGAGGTGTAGACAATTCTCTGTCCTTTTGGGCACATAAAAGCAATCCCATTGCATGACACTAAAATGTAATGAGTCTACAAGGCTCGTTTTTATTACCTCATTTGAAAAATGTTTTTGGAGATACAAGGTTTTCACCCCACGTCAATAAAATGTAATTTTGAAATGTCGTCAGAGACTTTACGGTCATATAAAAACGATTTAATCATATTTTTTAGCTTACCAGCATGTCTACAATCGTTCCAGCCTCCATCTCTCACAAGGACATCCACACATTCTGCTCATGACTCTTACATACACACACATATACACAGACTCTAGCATAACCTTAAACTCTGAGCCTTCTCCTATAGTCTTGTGACACTTAACCTGATTGATGCTTTGTTCTGGTCCAGGGCTTGCTTGGTCCTCAGGGTCCCATTGGATTGCCAGGAGAGAAGGTACGTAGCATGTCTCTCACTTAATTTTAGAATTAAAGCTGTGACCTTGTGACCCCTGTCATCACATACACAGGGGAGGCCGGTGGAGCTAGAGAGTACAACCCAACCACTTCTGGCTCCCATTCAGACGAGACAGCGCTAGACAGGAAATCAATACACAAGAAACACACACAGGCAAAACAGACACTAGGGATGGCCTTGGCCAGCCCGCATCATGAGGCTAGACTGTTAAAATAAATAAAAAGTGGACTTAGTCATAAATACAATATGTTTGGTCGAAGAGCAGCAAAGTGGGAAATGTGGGTCTCTTAGGCTCCAGTACAATTTCATATCCGAAGCTCATCTCAGTATTCATACCTCTCTCTGTCGTACGCAGGGTCCGCAGGGGAAACAAGGCATGCTGGGACTACCAGGCATTGATGGCCCAACCGTAAGTACACACAAAATGTACAACTGCATGCATAAGCACAAACACAATAACATACATGTATGCATGCATGCCATTGCACATCCAGTATCTATGTACATATTAATAGAGAGCCTACTGCTGCTCCGTTATCAGTCAACGCTGTGCTCAAGTGTCAAGAGAACTGAATCACTGCTCCCACAACATCATTCGATTGAATAGAAGAGACTTCACATTTGGCTCATGTTGTTCATCCGTTTATTTTATTATTTTTCTTTTATAGAGAAATACACATATGTGGTAAAAACATACACATACGTAACTATATACAAGCAAATACCTATCTACACCACATAATAACTAGACCCAGGCGACCAGTCTCTATAGTAGCCCATCGTACAGCAATTTCCAAATACAAGCTTAAATAATGTTATACCAACAATAAATACAACCAGGAGCCGTTTCTGGAATTGATCCAAAGCATTTAGAAAAGAATTAAAAAAAAAATCTTCTAACAGCAAGCCTTTCCTCGTCTCTAAGAATTAATCTCTTTAGATTGCAGTCCGACACATTTGAATGAGCTTCACTTGATGCTCCCTGATTTGTTCTGCAAAGCTTTGTGACACACAACGATGTTTTTATGGTGCTTCCCCTCTCAGTGCCGCTACCATTTCCTCTCTTTCACTGGTCGGTTGCATTGGGATATAGCGATACAGTAATGATGTATTTGCAGTGGTGCTAAATCAATCTGATTCCTGTTTTCCTGTTTCAGGGTCATCCAGGAAGAGAGGGCCCCGCAGGAGAGAAAGGCATCCAAGTGGGTAACTGCATATCTGCGGCTTGTCTGGTGTAGTGTCACAGAAAGATATTATAAGTGCAATATCATGGTGTTTCTTGCAATATTGTAACTCACTAGCATTAAGTTGCAATGAAGCTCACTCTTATCAATATAAACACTGTGTTCCTACAATGTCATCGTCTTTATTGGGCAAGAGGCTAAACTCATTAGAGTCAGCAGCATGCACTCATCTGCAACATCAATGCGCATTGACAATTAGGGGTAGGATACAATGACTGAGTGCAATGCTTATTCAAATGTTGTCAGATAAATGCATCTTTGCTGTCTGCTGCTGTCTAAGACTAAAGAATACCGTTTGTTTTTTTTATGAAGGGTTTACCAGGCGCTCAGGGGCCCGTTGGGTACCCAGGGACCCGTGGAGTCAAGGTGAGACATAAACGCATCATGATGTCAGGAGTAATGTCCGCTGAGATGTTTATTCCCTTCGAACATTCCATTTTAGTAGTATGTCTATGTGACGGACAAGCTGTTTGAGTCTATGACTGACAGGTGACAGGTGGAGGGAATGCTCCTCGGTTCTGAAGGGGACTGCTAACAGCAGAGTGGGAGACATTTGATGGATGGAAGAGATGTCAGAGTCAGATAGAGCAGAGCTGTGTGCGTAGGTGTGGAGCAGTCCATTTTGAAAGTGCTTTGAGTGTGCTTTTGAAATTGAGGAATTCAAGTATAGGGTTGTCATGAAATTGCATCCTGCTTGGTATTTGTTTTTGTGTCACATTCACACATCTGGTATTGTATCTGGTAGCGTAGCTCAAGATCCTTCAGGGGAAGCCTGACCTTGTTGGAAATCGTCGGTATGAAATGAATGTAAGGTCAATAACTATTTAATACAAAGCAATGTTAGGTCAAGAGAAAATCAATACGCACTTATAAATCATTTCAGTGTTTTAAGATGGGGTATTTCTGGAGATGCAGGCAACCAGTGTTTTTTCAGTCTCTTCTTGAGAGCAGACTTGCGAATGTTCTTGTTAAATTAAGAGTTTTCCTACTTTTTCACAGGGAGGAGATGGAGTTAGGGGTCTAAAGGGAAGCAAAGGAGAGAAGGTGAGTGAAACAGATAGTGAGTCTTTATTCTGTTGTCAAACTGCGGATTGTGACTGGTGGGACACCTGATGAGTTACAAAGTAATGATGCCATTTATCACCTCTCCTCATCGCATCACAGGGGGAAGATGGCTTCCCTGGGTTCAAAGGTGATATGGGCATCATGGGAGACAGGGTGAGAGCAGCCCACAAATCACAAGCCTTAGTATAACTTTCTCTGTTATTCTTTATTGGAGTGGAAATACAATTGTCATCTCCCCGTGTACTCTCATTCTTGACTTTAGGGTGATAACGGAGGTTCTGGTGCTCGTGGAGAGGATGGACCAGAAGGGCCAAAGGGCCAAACAGGACTCTTGGGAGATTTAGGAGCTCTCGGGATAGCTGGCGAGAAGGTACATTTTTTAAAAGATTTACTTTACAAGACAGGGTTGGGACACAAAAGAGGAGGATAGGGAGATCAAATAGCTGCCAAATGATAAGAAAATTCAGTGGGACTTTACATTACAGCTGATTAATAACATGTTATGGGGGGGGGGGGGGGGGGGCTTTTTGATAAGAGGTCACAATTATATAATACTATGTAATTCCAAATGAATAACCAGGTAATAGTAACCTGCAATAAAATGGTGATATTAGTGCAAAATGTGGAAGTTGAAAATTGGTAATTTCCTTATTATAATGCTGAAATTCATCCTGACTTTTGTTTCAAATATTCCTTTTCGTTTCAAGGTAATACAAATTATATGTTTCATGCTGTGACGTGTCACCTGTTGACACATTACCTGTTGATATTTAATTTCATGGTAATATTAGATTTAACTAAACAACAAAAAGCATAGTGATTACCTGGCAACATTGTGGAAACAGGTAGTTAAGTATTTTGCAGCCCTGATTCATGTTATTACACACAAAACTGCCGTTGTGTTTCCAGAGAACAAATCACAACATTAAACATATAATTTGCACAGCATCACAGTAAAACTGAAAGGGATGTTTGGAATGGGAAACATCAACCTATATTACATCATTATTATCAGGTTATTACTCCAGTAGTGGCACCATATTACCATATTGTTAAACCATTACCCCATTATTACTGAGCAGTAATGTAAAGTGCTACCAAAAACTCTAAACCTGCGTTGTGCTGTTACAGCCCTGGTAATGTGAGGTAGTAGAGTTACATTTCATTAGTTTTCAGCTGTGACAAAACCTTCTGATAACATGAGTGTCTGAAAATCCCTGAAATACTGAACATATGGATTTTAATGCCCGCACATTTATTACAGCTGATTACAGCCCATTCCTCGGGCAAAGCTGCCACTGAACCAGTGTGCATGTTTTAAGCATTTAATCTTTCTGTCATCATTAAATGCATTAATTTAAAGACATCCTGCTGTATTTGGTGCATGCATAGTCAGCAGTGTGTCATACACATCGTAATTAAATGGTTTTCATGCACTTTTCTTCTTAATATTTCTCTGGTTCCTTTCTTCCTGCCCTCTTATTCTGCCGGTCTCTCTGCAGGGTAGACTTGGTGTGCCTGGATTGCCAGGATACCCTGGCCGACAAGGTCCTAAGGTGATTTAGCATTGACGAGCTATTATCATCAGTTAATGTGTCCTCTGGTTCCTTTAGCGAAGCCTTAACCAGCAAGATGTGTCTTTGGCTGTACTGTTTCCTGTCTGATTAAAAATAAAGGATGACAAATGGCTTATTAAAAAAGTCTATTTTATTAATAGTTCATTAGTGACATCAATTCATTACATGTTGATGAATGGCGTATTTAAGGCTGTGTTGGGCTCGTGGATTCGATTTGCTTTAATTTGATACAGTAGTTAATTATGCGATAATGAGGCATCAGGGGTGACGTGTGATAAATGGACGGCCGAGGCTGATTAACCTCTATGTTTGTCTCCAGGGAACACTTGGCTTCCCCGGTGGGGCCGGGGTCTCAGGAGAGAAAGGACGAAGGGTGAGGCCATTTTTTTTCACATTCTGGCCGCTTCAGAATTTGTAAACTTTTCTGATGAATAATTGTTTGACCTTTTACAATCCAGGGTCCAGCTGGTCAGCCGGGGCCCGGGGGCCAAAGAGGTCCTAATGTGAGTACAGCTATAGGTGCCATGCCCACACCACCATTTTTTCTCTCTCTGTATAAAGCTGTATTTGCTCGAATTAGATACCATCGGTGTACCGCAACTTGTGGGAGGCACATTGTTGCATCACTGCAGTGTTTTCACCAGACTATTATCTTCCACCTCCAGAATGTGCTAATCAGACAGTTGTTTGTTTTCCAATAGGGAGCCCGGGGGGGAAGAGGAGCAAAGGGGCCCACTGGAAAGCCTGGAGAAAAGGTGAGCTTAGACTGACACACACACACACACACACACACAAACAGTGACATAAAGAAAAACATATGCACAAACATTTACAGTCACATAAACACACACCTGGCTGTCTCATAAAGTATGGATGAATGTGCCGACCGAGTTGGAAGTGGATGTTGCTGTTCACTTCTCGATGACAGGCCATCTGGTGCAGTGAGAAGCGACTGTCTGGCAGGGGATGCCTCAGTTTTCACTCTCACCCTCAAAGACCATCTTGGGAAAGCTAAAGATTTGCTGGCGGGCAGAAAACTAGAAATGCTTGAGTGGCTCATGTTTTTGCGTCTTCATGTCTCCTGCCTTGTCCAACTGGTAGGGTTCTGCTGGACAAGAGGGTCCTCCAGGTTCCCCCGGAGAACAGGTAATCTTTTTCCTACATACAGTGTTTAAAAAAGACCATAGATGTAAAGCCTTGGCATCTCAGTCTCAAACCAGTGTAGGCCAAGCACCAGAAACTACAATCTGGGGTTTGAGACAATCTGTGTTATTGTTTCCTAGGGCCCCCAAGGACCACAGGGACGAAACGGTGAACCAGGACTTCGAGGGACCAATGTGAGTGGCCTATGATGTACTGTACAGTGATTGCCCCGTGATTTACCATCACTCGTTTTTACCTCATGGTCAAGTTTGAATATGTCCAGGTCATGACAATGATGTAAGAAAATGCTTCCCTTTCAGGGTCCACCCGGAAAAGATGGATTACCGGGTCATCCAGGCCAGAGAGGGGAACCAGTGAGTAACGTTTAATCTGAATAAGGCTACACGTTTAGTATTTTTACCAGAATTCACTTGTCAGAGAGCTGAAAGTCAACATGATCTACTGCACGTGTCAACGCAGCAAACAAGTCGAAAGCTATGACTTCAGCATTGAATTACTGATTACTGAAGAGTGCAAGTCGGGAGGCCTCTAACAAGATTACCTGCCCTGTGTGCATCCTATCGACTCTGTTTCAACTCTGAGGCTCACTTGTCTTATTCTTCAGGGCTTCCAAGGCAAAAATGGACCCCCCGGCCCCTTAGGTGTTGTAGGACCACAGGTGAGAGGATCAGCCAATGGCATATTAGTTGATTGTTATGCACACAGCTGTTTATTTAAGACAGCGTGTTTTTAAATAACTGTTATGAAATATGTGTCATGTAACTTGCTTGTTTTCAGGGCAATTCTGGTGAGACAGGACCAACTGGAGACAGAGGCCATCCAGGATCGCCAGGACCACCTGGTGAGCATGGTTTACCGGGATCTGCCGGAAAGGAGGGTGCCAAGGTGGGTAGTTTTCATCATAATGTTGGGCTCATAATCACTTACCAGCATCACCTTATTACTGTGATATTAGATAAAGCCCAAGGACTCTCTCAGCTCTGCCTATTGCATATCTTATCTCCTGGGTCTCATCCCACCCTCTAATTTGCTAATAAATAACAGAGGCAACCTTGCGGTGTTGAGTGTATTATGGCTCATAAAAGATAAATGGTGCTTCTTGGTGCGACTTGCTGGTTTGGTGTGATTTATGACTGCATAAGGGCCTGCTGTCTGCTCGCTACTTGCCTTTTATCTAATCACATATGTGTGTATGTGTGGTTTCCAGGGAGACCCAGGTCCATCAGGAGCCTCAGGGAAAAGTGGCCCTACTGGGCTGCAAGGCTTCAGAGGGAGCAGAGGGACCCCTGGTGCAATGGTAGCGTACACTTTCATGCATCTCACATCCTCGCCATCTCTCACTGTCAACCAGGAGGTTTATTACCTCAGTAAAGATTGTAAACATGAGTTTATGGTCATAATTGCTAGTTTCAACACTTCTTCAACACAGCATGATGTTTATTTTGTAAATTAAAGTCCCATTTAGAGTAAAATAGACGATAAAGCAGGGTATGCTTTAGGGCTCGACTTCCTTGTGATTGACAGGTCACTACTACAGCGTTGTCGAGTCTGGGAGTTTTCCGTGTTTTCGTCTTACAACTTTAACCCCTTCATAGTGTGATTGTAGTACATGGAAGTTAAATGTACCATTTTGTTTGCCTAAAATGTCTTATTCAGCGTTCGGTAGTACTTTGCTCCATCTTATCGTGTCACGAAAAAAAAAACAAGATGGCGACGGCCAAAACACCAAACTCTCAGCTTCAAAACCGTAGTCCACAAATTAAAGGGTGATGTCACGGTGACAACGTCCACTTCTTACAGTCAACACAAGATCCTTTGGAATGTGCAGCTTGCAATTACATCACAGTTTAAGTTAAAATCCTGCCAGTTACGCATGGAGTTTTGCAAATGGAAACTTACTTCACTGATGGTAAAACTTGCAATGGATGCGGTTGTCGCGTGATTGTGAAGGCTGTTTATGTGCATCTCCAGGGTCCTGCAGGTCTGAAGGGAGGAGAGGGCCTACCTGGTGTCGCAGGACTTATTGTAAGTCTGATTTTGTTAAATTGCTTTCCATCTCATCCCCTGCTCTCTGCCAGCTTCTATGGTCTAAAAAAATGCTAGGACATATGAAGCAGGAGGCTGTTTCCATGGTGATCACTGATCGTGACCACCACATTAAATCAAAGAGTGCATCATGCTCACCTCATCGCTCTGGCTCCTCTTTTTTTTTTTCAGGGTGCCACTGGAGAGAGGGGCCCCGCTGGGCCGACAGGTGCTATTGGCCAGCCAGGACAGCCCGGCGGCGTGGGTCTTGCTGGGCCGATGGGAGAGAAAGGCGAGCCAGTAAGATTTGGAACATTGCTAATTTTGTTTCTTCGGCAAAACAATGTTTTCTAACACATACTGTCCTATCACCTCCCACCATTGGGTAATAAATAACATGTGCTCTCGCCTTGGAATGTGTCATTATGCGACAGAGAGCAGGAGGGAGGCAAAGGAGACAGAGAGAGAAAAGCAGGGACAAATATGAATGTGATCAAGCCTGCTTTCTTGGGTGCAAGTTTCCCTCCTGGTTTGATCCATTTATCAATGTGTCATGCTGCTATATGAGGATAATAAGTATTGTAGCATTTGCTAGATGTGTGCTGTTTTTCCTTCTGTTCCCTAGGGAGAAAAGGGGCCTGTGGGGCCGGCTGGGCATGATGGGGAACTGGGACCGTTCGGGCTGCCCGGGGCTGCGGGATCTCCTGGGCCTCCAGGAGAGGACGGAGACAAGGTAGTTATATTGGACACATCAGCGGATTATGAGACAATGGTCCCTGAGCAAGAATATGTTAAAGTCCTTTTCCATCTCTCCTACACAGGAGCAAGACACACAGACTTTTGTTTCGTTGTTTTGCCCCTTTTGCAGTGATTTTGTGCATCTCTGCAGTTGTTTTGCATCTCTTTGTAGTTTTTTTATGTTTCTTTGTAGTCCATTTGTTCCTCTTTGTGGTCGGTACGTGTCTATGCTAATTACATTTTGCAGGTGAAGCCTGGTAGACCTGGTAGGCCTGTTAAGTAATCCTTCCACTATTGGACAGCCAAACTGGACTGCAGCACTGCTCTTAAGTATTTTCTCTCGTCGTCGTTTCTGTGTGTATGTTCATGTGTGTGCATTTGTCTCCATAGGGAGAGACAGGAGGACCAGGCCAGAAGGGCAGTAAAGGAGACAAAGGAGAAGCTGTGAGTATGAATTGTATGCGAATAGTCCCAACAGCACATCACTGGCCTCACCAGGAGGTAGAGGACAAACTGACTGGTAGGCTGCAATTCATTGTGATAAATGTTTGCCTGGACTCTGCATCATCTGCTGGAATGAGCAGATTGTTTTAATCATGTCTTTCCTTCAGGGAATGTGTATTGAACTGTCCTTCTGCTTTTCTAGGGACCCCAAGGACCTGTTGGAAGTCAAGGGCCTGTGGGCCAACAAGGACTGCCAGTATGTTATGAAAACTCAGATGAAAACACACCATTGTATGAGAAGTTGGTTTAGGTTGTGCAGTGTTAACGCAGTGTACAGTGGTGACCTGTACTTGTATATTTCAGGGTGCAGATGGTGAGCCAGGTCCTCGTGGGCAGCAGGGCATGAACGGGGTGAAAGGAGATGAAGGACACAGAGGCTTTAAGGGAGCATCTGGTCCTTCTGGTCTACAGGTAAGAATTACTGTCAATTCCAAAAAACGGACTGCGTCTCCATTGGCTCCTCCCTGATTTAAACATTTAAACTTTAGTTTATCTCGGTCTTCATTTTATATCGGAGACTGCGCTGCTCACCATATCTCCATTTGTAGGGAATGCCAGGACCACCAGGGGAGAAGGGAGAGAGCGGGCATGTTGGCTCGATGGTGAGTGCTGTTCAGCAATCTCAGCACATATAACACTCATCTCAAGTCTACTGCTGAGGTCCAGTGTCAGTCTCAAGTCTTTTCTCAACACCACTTTACTGACATCTTACATTTTGTTTCATGATTGTATGACTTTGACTTGTCTTGGTCTTGTCTGATATTGGATATCGACTTGCCTTTTCTTTACTTTCCAAAAAAAACGTTGAATATGTTTCTCCACTTTTCTTCATTTTCTCTCCAGTACCAAAGCAGTTTGATGAATCTTTTCAAAGATCAAACATGTATTTACATGCATTCATCAGTATGAAAACAATTCATTATTTACCAGGAATATTTAGGGTGTAATGCAGAGCTTGTGCAAGTACCGTATTTCAGTTTTTGATTTGGAAACGAGTTTGTATTTGTCTGAGATCATTACTCAGCTCAGTGTTTTCTGTTACCTGTACGGTGTTTCTGATGCGGGTGTAAGTAGTGCATTATTTCATGTGATAGCTTTATCCAAGAAGCAGACTAAGACTATCCCCCTTTGTTTTGAAAAAATGACATGATGCACACAATTTGGCAAGATCAGGAGGGTGCAGTACTCTGCAAATAAAACAGGACCAACACCAATATTTTAGTGACACCCCATTAATAACACATTGAATAGGTGTGTGTTACTGTAGGTGTAATCACTTGGCTCGATGCTTGTAGATAATGCAACCCAGAAACAAATGAAAACAGGTTACTATCAGAAGAAAAATAGTTAAATGCAATCACACTGCATTATAGAATGCATCTCGCACTGCTTTCATATGAGGGAAATAATAAAAGGAATTTGATGGATGATTTTTATTTCGTTAGATGAGGGAATGGTATTTTTTTTATAGCCTGTTATAGAAACAAAAGGCTGATAATGAGGAGAGAGGAGCCATGTTGTTTCCCAGATTATTGTACATTTAGTATTGTAAAGGTTCAAGGTATCAGCAGCGTAGGAGCTATAGCTGGGACACAGACAATCCACCTCTTTAAACTTTCATTAGTGCCACATGTTTTGTTTGCTTTGTTTTTTTGTGCTGATCCTGCTGCTGTGTCAAACATGTGAATCAACCTATTTCCTCTGCCGATACTCATCAACGCTCACCGCCCTGGAACTACAGGCAGCGGGTCTTGAGCGGGGCTTAGTTTGTTCTGGTCTGATTAGTCTCAATATAATTGAGACTCCGGTTGTACAAAGAGGTGTTGATAGACCTTTAGAGTAAAGTCAGTCATGGTTCTTACACTTGGAGCAGTCTAGTGTGAGATCGATGCTCACAGATTACTCCATTGTAATAGCCTCGACGACTGTCAACACCTAACAATCTAATCAGCCTCATCTGTTGAGGAACTAAGGGCAAAATTTAAATCTGTGGTTTTCTTGAGCATTTTTCCAAAGCCGACAATTGAACTTGTGATAACAGAAAAGCACAGGTGTAACGTCAATGATGGTTCTGCTCCTAATAGTATAGAATATTCCTTTTTTTAACCTAATTCATATAGTACAGAAATATCACATCCATGACACAATGACACTGAACAATGCCTACACTTTGTGTGGGGTTTTAAAGGTGTTGATTATCAAAGAAATGAACATCCCACATTAGCTCTGCTAAGTAGCAGCAAACTAGTCAACCATATTACCATCGCGTATAACAAGAACTGTGTTATTAGAGCATCCTTGGTTTAAAAAAAGCACTCTTCGGTCAACTGCGCTTTAATTCTGTTCCTCATATCTCCAAGTCTGTTGGCCTTGGTTATATCTTTTTATTTTCTGATAAAAATGATATCCAGAGTAATGATGGCAAAAGAAACCATAACACCTATAACAAGCTCAACTCGTCTTTTCAATTGGTGATGGATCTTCAAGGCTGAGTGTGAATGACGGTGACTTTATGGGCAAGAGAGACAAGCCCACAGGATGAAGAGGTGGTCCTCCATGTAAAATGAAGAAAAGGATCAAAAAGAGAGGAGAGAGTGTTACGGAGAGGACGCAGTGAAGCAATGGAGTGGAAGGAAGAGGCGGAGCACTGATTGTGAGCAGGAAGACGGTGTGACAGCTGCTAATCAGATTAGCCTCAGCCTTGGCTGTCTAATGAGCATCCTCCTTTGTGACAGTCATCTCGCAACGCTGTCAACCATGAACACACGCTCAACAAGATTCTCTATAGCCCCTCTTCTCCACAGCCAGATTAAGGAGGGAATCAGAATGGAACCAAAACAAAAGAGAAAGAGAAAGAGAGAGGAGAGATGCTCAAGACTCAGTGGGAAAGTTTTATTCATGTGTGAGCATTGCGGATCACAGGATTCTCCCCTCTAATGCTCAAGTATCTCTCCGCCAGAAGGATATATGTTTCCTCTAGTCCCACACAGTCTCTCTCTGGGCAGATTGTCTGTCTTTCTGTCTCAGTGTCTTCACAACACAAGGCTCCCTCCAAGACTTCAGAGTGATTCAGAGCACAGTTCAACATCTACTCGACTGAAACTGAAGCCGAGCACAGTTCGGATTAATTGTTCCCGGTCTCTCTTGAGCTGCACAGAAGAGTCAAATCACATGACGTTACTGTGGCTCAGAGAATATGGCCTTGCACATCACAGACTAGAGGTTTCTTATTAAAAATGGAGAATAAGAGAGATGCGAGGGAGGGAGGAATCAGAGCTCGTGTCATATTGAGGGTAATGACCTGTCTGGATGTCTTCATCATGTCACTACGATAATGATCATGGATCCTGGGGCCATTGCATAAGCAATCCTCCATGGCCTGACTTCTAACACTCATTTAATTTAAGAGGCACCGGTCATCGACTAGCTCACATTCAGTTTGTATTTCTTCTGCATGTTTTATTAATGCAGTATATATATCTTTATCGTCTGCACTGATATACTAACGAGACATTTTATTTCTCTCTCCACAGGGGCCTCCAGGACAGCATGGCCCACGAGGCCCTCAGGGGTCCATTGGTAGAGAGGTAGAGTACAGCATGACTTTTTAAAATTACCCATGTGGGTTTAGACGTGAGTGTGACTATTAGTGATATCACATAGACAGTCCCATTGAGCGAGGGATAAAGAGAACACTCTATACAAATACAGGTGCTCTAAAGCAAGTGAAAGGAGAATTACCCTGCGAGGAACGAATTATATCAACAAGCTGTTCATATCCATCTTCATAACACAAACTGTAAATATTCATAGGAAAAACATTTCAAATCTGATGTTCTTGCCTTTTTTAGGATAATTCATTGAGGTTTGCAAATATTTATTATTTGTTCATGAATTGTTTTTTTTGAAAATGTATCATTGAGGCTAAATCATTATTTTTGTTGATTTAATTTAAAGGAACCGGGTGAATCATTTAGGGGGATCTATTGGTAGAAATGAATATAATAAGTATGTTGTCTTTAGTGTATAATCAACTGGAAATAAAAATCATTCGTAACCTTAGAATGAACCGTTTGTATCTACAAAGCGGGTCCTCTTCAGTCTGCCATGTTTCCACAGTACCCCAGAACGAACAAACCAAACACTGGCACCAGATAGGACCATTCACATTTTTGGTGTCAGTCACCATAGTTCTCCTACACGCTTAAGCGCACGGGAGGACATCAGTTGGTTGCAATCTGCAGCCTCACCACTAGATGCTGCCATATCATTCACAGTGCACCTTTAATCTAAATTCTTGCATTTTTGATTTGCAATTTTGAAATTACACAGACCCTGTGCAAGTATTGGAGTTCTGATATTTTCAAGTGATAGTAGCAGCATGCCTTTGTGATACATACAGAAAACATGAAGGTGTATCAGTTTTGGAATCAAAAAGACATCCATTCAATACGCAGCATTATCTACTTTTCAAACTAAACAATAGCGTATCCTTATACACAACATATTTTATATTTCCCAGCCTCTCATCTTTATATTCTGTCTCTTCATTTGAACACTTCCTACCACAGACCATCCGCTGCTTTTGAAACTTGAATTATTAAACAGTATTAGGATTTAATCCCTGGGAGAGAGTTATATTTACTGCTTTATGAATCATTAAGACGTATTAGACTATCATCCCTGAGAGGCAGTTATATTTACCTCTGGTAATGGTCGTCTCTCTGCAGCCTCTCACACCGGTCAATTATTCAGCAGCAAGCTGCAGAAATCTATATGAGCCACGCTGCGGCTTCTTCACAGGAAGCATTGGAAATACGGCGGTGCAGAGAGGATGGGATCCATTAATGGATTGATACAGGAATTGTGGAAAAGAGAGAAATGGTGGTTGGATGGCATGAGAGGAAAGAAAGCAGGTGATGGCAGGAGAGCGGGAGTAGTGCGTGGCGGTATTCAGCTCTCATGTTTGTGCACTCTACCGAAGACGTGCTTTTACTGGGTTTGTCTCAAGACAAAGCACAATGACAGACGTATGCGCACGCTAACATGCATGCACCTACACAAGTGAACAAACAAACCAATTGAGAGGGGGAAATAGCATCCACTCTACTGTGCGACTCAGGCACGATCCACAGAGCAAACCTGTCACAGTATTTTCCCTTGTGTTGTGATAATTCTGTTCCAGTTTCAGCATTCTGTGAGCAGAACTGCTGACAAGTAGCAACAAAAAGATACTGCACCAAGAGCTCGATTTTCAAAAATCAAATGAATATTTCAAACTTGCCCTTGTATGATATTTTGGCTCAAGCTGTTCTCTGTCCTCCTACCACAGGGCCCACCTGGAATGTCTGGTGGAGTTGGTCAGCCTGGGATTGTTGGAGAGAAGGTCAGCATTTCCGATTAGCAACTACACAGTGTGTGCCTGTGCACATCCGAGTATCATAGCGGGGGTTTGTGTGTGTGTGTGTTTTTTTTTTATCTTGTGCTTTCCTTCTCTACCAGGGTGAGGATGGAGAAGCTGGAAACCCTGGGTCAGCTGGAGAGCTTGGCATTGCTGTAAGTCATGTTAATTCCATCTTTCCTTCCCGTCTTGCTCATCCTTTCTTTACCCTTTCACTGATTGTCATTTCACATGCCGGTGTCCCAGGGTGCTAAAGGTGATGTGGGGGAAAAGGGCGACTCTGGCCCTCACAGTGCAGCGGGGCCTCCAGGACCCAGAGGAACACAAGGGGAGGACGGCCCCAAAGGCAACCCTGTGAGTCTCCGTCTCTCTGGATCATTAACTCTTTCTTGCTCTGGTTGTCAGTTCAGACTGTTGTTGCTCTATGATGGTGTCTAGCTCATTGTTTGTCCCCACAGGGCCCTCTTGGATTCCCCGGAGATTCAGGACCTCCCGGAGAATCTGGCGTCAATGTGAGTATTATTGTTATCATTGTTTTACTATTAATTTGTCATGAACTTATTGTTTGATTATTCCTTCTACATGATGTTTTTTTTATCCAGGGAGTAGATGGTGGACCGGGGCCTAAAGGAGACAATGGAGAATCTGGCAAAGCAGTAAGCAGTGATTCCCCCCCCCCCCCACTTTTTGCATGTTGACAACACTAGTAGCTCTTGTATGCTTAGCTTAGCTTAGTCTGTATTCTCTGTGACATATTGAGGTTTTGCTTCTTCATCTTTACGGCTGGACGTTCTTCTCAGTTTTAGGTGACTGAGTGATAATGTGTTTCTGTTTTAACATTAGTCCTTTTGTCTTTTTCTCTGAAGGGACCTCCAGGAGCCTCTGGAGAGCCAGGTCCTTCAGGACCTCCTGGACGGAGGGTGAGCTCAGCATATTGTATATGTTTATGTGCCTACATGTGTGGGTCGCTACTGTATATGTGTTTGTTTGCAGTGTCAGTATCATGGCAATCAACATTGTCTTTCTCAACCCCAGGGCTATATAGGTGCTGCAGGAAATGAAGGGAAGCAAGGCATGAAGGGAGCCAAGGTAAGGGTAATGGCTGGCACTGAGCTCCGTGGTTGTGTTTGGTGCCTTACGGCAAAGCCCTTCTGGTCATAATGCCTGGCTGCCTGTGTCTGTCCCTCTGCTCTGTAGGGGACAACAGGGACCCATGGTCCAGTGGGGAAGACAGGCCCAGTGGGACCCCAAGGCCAGCCAGGGAGGTCTGGCCCGGAAGGTCTTCGAGGCATCCCAGGTTCAGCGGTCAGTACACAATGTAAAATGCTTTGTTTACATTAGTCTGAAGCTGGTACTGACTTTGTTGAGTGTGAAGCAACATCACTGACAATCATCAGCACACGAACTTCCATCACTGGTTGCATTTAACCATTGCTTCAGCATACTTTACACTGATCTCTAATTATTGTGTTTCTTCTCTAGGGTGAGCACGGGTTAAATGGGCCACCAGGACAAATTGGACCACCAGGACCAATAGTAAGATCCTTATAGTTGCCTGTTCATGGAGAGCGTCATTCATAATAATAAATCAGGATTCAAACCCAACCCAACCGAACAATATTCCATGTGCATTGGCCAACTAATACATCTGCCATTGTTGACAGGGGCCACAAGGACTTCCAGGATTAAAAGGAGACCCTGGAAACAAGGGAGACAAAGTGAGTGTTTAGCCCTTGACAGAGAGAAAACTCTGCACCAGTTAAGAAACAATGCTGATGAACCATATCTCGGTCTGCAGGGTCATGGTGGGTTGATCGGCCTAATTGGCCCCCCAGGAGAACATGGCGAGAAGGGAGACAGAGGCCTTCCTGGGATCCAGGGTACACAAGGGCCTAAAGGAGACAAGGTGCATTTAGTTGCAAAACAATGCATCTGATATACTTCCACACAACAGGAAGTTCAGTTCACTAACAAGATATGCTTGTCTTTATATATAGGGTACGCCCGGCACACATGGTCCCACTGGCCCACTGGGAACACCTGGACTGTCAGTAAGTCACATAGCTGTTAATATATATGCTTTTCAGTATGATCAGTGTTTGATTTCAGCTACAATACGAGATAAGTCATTTGCGTATTAAGCCAAAAAGGAATGTGTTGATGTCTTAAGAAACGTTATATATGTATCAACCTATTCACATACTGTTATTGTCCATCCTATGGCAAAAAAGCAGTAATGTTAAGGTTGTATAGATTTGGATCGCAGAGATTTAGCAGCTGATTCTATCTGCAAAGCTAAAGTAAGAACCATTTTGTCCAGAGAACATACAGTCTTGTTATTATTGTCATTGTTACTCAGTAATGAATCATTTTGACCATAACCTGCCCTGTCGCTAAGCAGGTGCCGGATTTATCAGTGAATAGCTGACAGTATTTTGCAGTGCTTACTTGAGTAATTAGATAGTTTGAAGAGTATGTACTTTTACTTGTCTTTTTTACTGCTTACTTACTCCTCCTCTCCACTCTTAGGGTACAGCTGGCGATAAGGGATCGAAGGGAGAAATAGTGAGTACAGTCATCTGTCTTGTTTATACATTGCCGTCGCTGTACTCACACCTCAGCTTGGTTAGCAGCTGCTGGGAACATATGCCGGGGAAGAGAGAAAAAGTTTGTTGGTTTAAATGTACCGTGCTTCACAAACACAATGCTCTACTTTGTTTACTGCATGTCTTTGGAACTAAAAAGAGGCTGTACAGCCACGCTCGCCTTGTGTGTGTGATGTTTTTCAATCACACCCTTTTAATAAGATTTGGTTCTGGTGTGTGATGTTATGAAAACCACTACAGTGTGTCGTGAGAGCCAATGCTTTGACCACAAAGTGCTGATGCACGCAGCTGGATAATCCTATAACGGAGGCCATATCTGCCTGGATAAAGCTGGGATTTAGCCAAGTGGTGTGAGAGAGGCTCCAGGTGAGAAATGCTTGACACAAAGTTTTGTCCTGTTCTATTCTCCAGGGTTTTGTTGGTCCCAGAGGAGATCGAGGCCTTGCTGGACCCCCAGGGCTCCCTGTGAGTACTGCGAATGATCCACATCATGGCCCTCTCAGTGCCATCTTTACCCTCTGTCTCGCCCTGTCACCTCTTGCTCATCTCTGTCTGCTACCTCCAGGGACCCCCTGCGACAATTATTGAGCCTCTGCCTATCAGAGAGGGCAGGCGGAAGAGACGAAGGCACTCCGATCGGGCAGGAGGAGCCGCTCCATTCAGAGAGGAGGACGTGGATCTGGAGGAGTTACCCCAGGGAGATCAGCCTCTGGAGGACGCCGAGGGAATGGAAGAGGTCTTTGCCATCCTATCTTCCATGAAAACGGAAGTAGAGGTGATGAGGAGGCCCTTGGGATCCTTTGAGAGCCCTGCCCGGACCTGCAAAGAGCTCATTATGGTCCAACCGGGCTACAAAGACGGTTAGCAAAGATAATGCTTCATGATTGATGCCTATTTCAACACATTCAATGTTTTATCCAGGAAAAACTAGTGAAGAAAATTCACACATCCTCTAGCAAACCCCCCTTTTAAGTAAAAATGCTCTTTATCTTATCGCCAGCTGCATGTAATCATTGTGTAACCCTCGATGTGTTCATTATACACATGCTTGATCAATGTCCTTTCTTTGTGCATTTTGTAGGAGACTACTGGATTGATCCTAACCAGGGCTGTCACCGAGACTCCATCAAGGTCTACTGTAACTTCACAGCTGATGGAGAGACATGTCTCTACCCTGACAAGAGGATTGAGAATGTAAGTCTCCAATCTCTTGCCGTCAGCCTTTACAAAGTCAACCTCATCAAATAACATCAGAGCAAAAATCACTCCCTATATCCCTTAAGCCTAAAATTGACTCAACATCATCTCTCTCTCTTTGTGTCTGTCTCTCTCTCTCTCTCTCTCTCTCTCTCTCTCTTTGTCTGTCTGTCTGTCTCTCTTTCTTTTTCTCTCTCTCTCTCTCTCTGCTTCTAGGTGAAATTAGCAGCGTGGAACAAAGAGAAGCCAGGAAGCTGGTACAGCCAATACAGGAAAGGCAAGCAGGTACAACAAAAAAAAAGTCTAACCTCCTGCCATTAATCTCAACTGGTTCCAAATGCCAGGCAGTCTTTTTCAGCTAAATTACTCATCCTAATTGAGAGTGCTTGAATGATGTTCATGCATAAGATTGAGGTGCAAGCATTTGTTGAGTGTGTTCACATGAATGTGTAGGTTTGCACGTGTCTATCCGTGTGCTTTTAGTTTATTATTTGTATATTTATATTATATAATTAGGTATCAATTTTTTAGACCCTGTGCAATGAGAGAGCTGATTTGATATTGCCCGCAGTTGAATTCAGCATTCTGGATGACTCAGAAAGAGCCATTGTCAACTCTTTCATCGACTAACATGCAGGGCAGCTCGCTCAGAGCACTGGCCTTTCATGAGCACCTGATCAGAGGTCTCATAACGCTCTCAGATAATCATAGAGCTGCCAGCACAATTGCAATTCACTGACTTTCTCGTACAGAGTCCTTGGATCTGCTTAAGGTTTATTTTTTTTTCCCTTAATTTCCCTACTACCTACTTTACTTTCCCTGTCTGTTCTGATTCTGAAGAGAAGTTTCCGCAAACTTTTCACCCTTGCTGACGTAAACGCCTTCATCAGCACAGGGTGGCAGGTTTGTAATTTCAGTGATTAGAACTCATATTTGTCTGAGAAAGATTATAGACTCAGACATGTTTTTCTGTGGATTTGTCTATTTTAGAGAAAACATGTTTTTGTGTATTGTATTTAATTGAAAGGCAATGCAGTTTAATTAATCGGGGGTTTATAGTACATACTATATCCGTCTATGTAGAACACTAATGTCTCTAGCTGTGTCATCCAGTTCTCCTACAGTGACAGGGATGGGAACCCTGTGCATGTAGTTCAGCTGACCTTCCTGAAACTACTGAGTGCCACGGCCAAGCAGAGCTTCACCTACACCTGCCAGAACTCGGCAGGCTGGTTTGACAGAACCTCTCGTTCCCATCAGCGTGCCCTCCGCTTTCGGGGCAGCAATGACGAGGAGTTGACACAGGCCAAAAGCCCCTTCATCAATGCGGTGCATGATGGATGCCAGGTCAGTGCAGGGCCATGCCAGAGAAAGGGACTAGCTGGACAAATAAGAATTAGCCTTGTACAGGGATTTAGGCCAGAGAGCGGGGGGAGCTAGTTAGTCCTATTAAGCCAAGCAAATTCTAATAATGGCTTTAATTTTTCTCTTTCAGTTCCGCAAAGGTCAGGAAAGGACTGAACTAGAGATCGACTCTCCCTCGGCAGAGCTGCTCCCTATTATAGATGTGGCTCCAGCAGACTTTGGCAACAGCAACCAGAAGTTTGGATTCCAAGTTGGACGAGTATGCTTCAACGGTTAACATCTTGCCAACAACAAACACAAAATAAAAGAGACCTGCACAAAGTTTTCACTTAAGGAAATAGGACTTTTACCGCTGCCCCAAGCAGTATTTATTCTTCATGTTCCTGTATGTGGTGGGTTTGTGGTATATCATTTAAGACTATTCAACAGCCAATGAGATTGGTTCTATGGCTTTACAACAAGAAGAAGAATGATGAGAAAGAGGATGTGTACCAGTGGGAACAAAACACATTTACCAAAGGGAAATATTCCAATTAAATATATTTAATTTCAAGTGTTTTTCGTTGTCTTTTTCTCTCACTGTTTGAGTGTGCTGTAAATGATCCTCTAGAATTTTGAGGACTGCACAACTTGAGGATGACCACTTACAAAGACAGACGTGTATGTTCCCGGAGAGGAGCGGTCTGTCATTCTGTGGTATGGGTCAGCTAAGTGGGACTTTTCAGACCTTGGATGAACTAGTTGCTACCTAATGCTTAACAAAGACTGCGGCTGAATAAATCAGAAACGTTGTCGTACTCATTTGCATGCTCAGATTTTGCTATAGTGACAATTGCATAGCAGTTGTGAACTAGCCTAGCATATTAATTCCACACAAGCACCATAATTAATTTCCTGTGTGCAGGAATGATATATTGTCCTTTTTACCCTTCAACTGCAGTTTGCTCAGTGAATTACATTGATTAGTATTCAAAAGGCGTAGCTAGTTATTGAACCCGACACTTACTTGAACGGATAAGGTTGTTTCCTTTATTGGACTGCTTCCCTCCATGGGTTTGATAATAAGCCTTTTGAGCCCTCCATCTTCTCAAGGGCTACAGTAGTTTATGTCAGACTAACACCCTTTTTACTGCGGTATATATGACATACCTCTGCAACTAGGTTGGGGATATTCCAGGGCAAGAATTAAGAGCATGTTGATTAAAACAGTCTTAACTGCATTAGTTCTTTATACCGAGAGACGCATCTCTTGAAAGCATTGCTGACGTAACCGGTTTTCACATTTTTCTCACCTACTCCGAGGTTTCTGTTTCTCTGTTTTTGTTCATATATTGAAATTTCTAAAGAATGTGTTGCTGTTCATTTGATATGATTTGCTCTTTAGTGGTGCTAAAAGTGATTCTATTGTTTTTGTGTCACTGTGTTTGTGTGTCTCTGTGGGCAGGATTATAGGACGAGAGAGATAGAGGGTTATTGCTCTTTCAGCAGCACGAAACGCCCTCAGAGGCCGAGGACTAGTCTACTGTGTTTTTTTGTCCATCTTCTGGCTGATGGTGCCAATTTCACAGGGCCAGTGAAAAGAGGTTAGGGACAGTTCAGAGCGTGGTTGATCGCTTTAAAAGGGAAAATCCATCTTACACGAATCCAGACAACTGTCTATCGAAACTAGAAATTGCAGCATCAAGACTGGAGTTAATGGTGTCATCATGTTACATTTTGAGAATTTTATCCATCTTAGATTTTATTTTTTTTAACATTTCTTTCAGATTACCTTTACAAATTGTAGAGCTGTGAATCAGAAATTGTCCTCACATCCCAGGGAAATTACCACGGGTGCTATTATAGTGCCACGTTATTCCATTATTCACAGTCTGTGCAGCAGCTCCAGGATTTGTGTTCAGATGACATTATTACTACAGTCTGTCTCTGTATGTCGGCTTAAACAGAGACTTCTTCAAATTATTAAATGGCAGCCGTGAAATATTACAGAAAGGACATATGCATGTGAATTCTATTTTACGAATGATTTTCCGCTTAGCAAATTAAATGTTAATGCTCCGTCTACCTCCTACTCAAACAGTTGACTGTGTGCCCAACGTGTGTAATTTTGCAATTCACTCCCGCTGTTCTATTCTTTTCACGGCGTTTAATTAAACATTCTAGTAATTAACTCCTCTCCTCCTGTCCCATCCCGCGCTGCCCATCCTGTGTATAGTGTTTGTTGTACTAACTTTACATACTGTACAGTTATTCTGAGGCCTGAATGAAAAACAAATGTATTTGTCAAAAATTGATGTGCGAATAAAAACAAACAAAGAAATTGCTCTGTTGTGTTTTTCCTCTTCGGACCCTACAGACAGGTTGGAACAATATCCATGAGAGCATGGGGCTGCCTGCAATGTCCAGAGAGAGTGTAATATACAAACAAGGCTCTTCATTACCGACTGGTTCTGCAACATTCCCTCAACAAGCTTGCAATCAGCCAATGTAATCAACTCTGATTTGCTCCCCAGTTCATTTATTTCAATTAGCTCTGTTTCAGTCCTCAAGAGGGAAGGCTGGGAGGAGACAGAAGCGAAGGAAGGGTGGGTGGTGAGAACAAGAGACGAGGTCCGCAGTGAAATGGCTGAGAATAAGAAATGCACCCGAGAGATTTGGTCAGTTTGGTGGAGGTACAGCTGTTCTGACAGGTATTTATGTGAGACAGACAAAGAGAAGAAACGGTAAAAATCCCAATGGCTAATGTATTTTTAACCAGTCTGAATGTCTTCATACCCCATTCACATACGCTCACTCTCTCTCTCTCCTTGCCTACTTATCTCTGGTGCTATTCCACAAACACACACGGAATAATTGCTTTTTGCTCCATTCACACAGACTCTTGCGTATGCACAACACACACGTACACACACACAAAAACTCTAAATCCTATTCTCTCACACGCATAAAAGTACAAGGCGCTCATCCCCTTTGGGGCCCACTGTTCAAGGTTAGCGTCAATGACAGAATAAAAGGTTACCATGTTATTTTTTTTCTTCCTTTTTGCTCCCTTCCACTCAATTGAATTTTAACCACACTAAGCTCTTGACCAGGAAAGGTCATCTGTTGCCACTAACTCAGAATAATGATCAAGCTGAAGAGCAGTGGGACTGTCAATATGGTATTTCCACGGCACGATGCCCTTTTCCCTTGCTCACAACCCACTCTCTGGTTCCAGCAATTCCTTTGACATTGTGTCTCCAAAGTGTAGCATTTCCTCTGCTGAGAGCGGAGCCTTTTCAGAGAGCTTCACGGTGCTATACGTTTATTTCCTCTGTTGACAGCTGAACATCTTTGCCTTAGACTAATATACAAGAATAAACTCTCAGAATTGAGTTGTCAAACATGACAAAAAAATGTGGAAACTGTTAACATACAGTCTCTCCCATGTGCAGTGGTAAATCAGCTTTAGCGAAGCACTAAGAAGAGCTCTTCATCCAGCTTATCCTGGAGCTCAGATTTGTGAAAGCCTGTGGGAATCCCATGGAAATGCACTCCCATGTGAGGAAAACTGGTATTTTATGCACACAAATATAAACAACATATATAAAACAATGTTGAGAAGTTTTACGATGTCATTCTTTCACGGGTCCCTTAACCGTGTTGCTACCAGTTGTTAGGACTGGTGGCAAGTATAATTTGACAAGGGTCCAGTGCTGGCCAAGGACAGACTAATGGCAGCATTAAAAAAATTTCAAAATGGCAAAGTCATGACCGCCTTACTCTGCCTCTGATTGCCCAGTAGCTACCTGCTGCTTTCTTTGGTTGGGTTGATTAGGTTTCGGCTGTTGGGTAAGAATATCAGGGTGAGCCAATCAGAAGCAGAGTAGGGTGGAGGATGCCTTTGCCATCCAAGGAAAAAAAAATAGCACTGACAGTTTGGCTAGCTTGCTAATAGGGATGTGAATGCTAACCAAATACGAGTTGTAAAATTGATACAAGAATCTCTAAATTTGACACAAAATTTGAAGGGAACATGGTAAGAAATTGATTCATCAGTCATAAAATGACACAAGCAGAAGGCGTTAGCTCTGTGTATGAGCAGAGAGACAGAGGGTGAGGTGTCCATGTGTGTACCAGGGGAGAGACAGAGGCAGCCGATCTTCAGATCTCTTAAACTCATAAACCAAAAACTTGCACGAGAAGAAATTTCACACACAAAAAACACGTCTCAGTTCAGGAAACAGGAGATCATAGATATCGTAGCTTCTCCAGTTCTTATGCATTATGAAACCATGATTTATATAATCGCAGTTACCAAATCGGTTAATCGCGACATCCCTAATTGCAATATTAATAGCTTATATAACAAAAGATCGATACTTGGCGTTAGTGTATAAATACAATATTGCTACGCAAAACATTGCAATACTATGCTGTATTGATTTTCCCCCCACTCCTAATATATACAGACATATATAAATAAATGATAAATGATAAATGTACTGTAGATGATAAAATTGCTGTTCATTTGTAAGAGGTGACAGGCAGTGAAAATTGTATTTAAACATGGTGCATTTATGCTTTAGATATACGAATAACTTGTAACAGGTGAGGAAGATGTACAAGTGGTATACTGAAAACAATTCCTTGTGATCAATAGTTTACACTTCAGAGAGGGGTGTGCAGAAACATTTGTTCAGTAGTACATTTACATATAAAAGGTGGGGTAACAGTGATCATGTTTGTCCTAAAATAATTGAATCTTGAAGAGACTTTGCTGATGCTGAATAGTTTACACTTCAGGTAAGCAGCTGCAAAAAAACATCAAATGTGTTAGTACACATCAATAGAAGTTACAGAGTAATGGCCATTATGTGTGGATCTTTATAGATGTTTAAAAAGGTTTACTTTGCAGAGTTTTTCTCCCTCTCTTCCCATTAAGCCTCTACTGAAGTGGTGTTACTTAGTCACTGCATATGGCCCATTTGTAGTGAGTACAACAGTACAAAAGACGCCTTCTCTGACATTCTGAGTCACCAGCCGCCTCTTTTCACCAGCATGTGAGGAACTTCACTGGTCATGTGCAGAGGTTACCGTTATACCTCAGATTCACAATATATTACTTATCAATCATTTATTAATTCATTTATTGGTTATTAAGGTTAATATATGACTTACAAGTATTGATAATTAACTAACATTTATGAATGTTTGTTGATAATTAGTTCTTTAAAGGCTTATAAATGATTTATGACTGATCATTGTTTACCAAATCTTTTTTTCTTCTATTATTTAATGATTCCTTAAAAAGGAAGTTTCTTTTCAATAGATGGTTTTGAATCTTTAATCTTGTGTAAGTGAAGCTGTTACGGTCTGGCTCTAACCATAGCAAAGGTCATGAAAAACTCGGGCAAGGAGCTAACCAAACAAATACTTTTTAATAACCAAAAGGCCAGGACATTTCAAGTGTGCAACACAAATGAGCATTCTCGTAGGGAATGCCAGAAAGAAACACATGCCGCCAGTTCAACTACTGCAACACTGCTGCCAGACACACCAGGTGTGTCAGAGGGGAAGAAGCCAGCCTTTCCTCCGGATGAGGCGGGTCTTATAAGGCGAAGGCAGTAGCCAGCTGCCTCCAATCTTCTTGATGTTGCTCTCCAACGATCCAGGACCCAGGGACACTGAAAGACATACAATCCCCGGAAGAGGCCCTGGGCCATCACAGAAGCCCACAGAAGTAGATTTTTGGAACTAAATATAAAGGAGTGCTGGACTCTGGACTGTATTACTGATTGGGAGAGTGATCTCTAAAAGCCACCGCCCCTCTCTGTGGTGCTCTGTCTTTTAAAGCATTATGCACATCATTGTAATATCTCTCTTGTATCTCTCCTTCTGTAACCTGATGCACTCTGATCAGTCTTACAGATATCCACCTTGTAATGTTCACTGTACAGACGTGAAAACGTTAGGTGTACACTTGTGCTAAGCTCTTGGCCAACTCTGCATTACTGCCCACTGCTATTCCATCAAGGATCTGAGCAGAGCTGTGGGTCTATAGTTGGCATTGATGAGCTACTTTTAGGCCCAGGAGTACATTAGTGTAACCCACAGGCAGGAGGAGTACCCTTAGTTGCTGCATATTGGAAACAAGATTGTCTCTCTTATTCTATCTCTCGTATCTTGTTCTCTCCCCCTCTCTTGCTCTTCTCACATCACTGTCTCATTATTCCGGAGTTGAAAATGTTAGAGACGTTTCTTTGTTGTTTGTTGGACTGTCTAGTCTCCCTTCGATGCCGTTTCTCTCTTTCTAGTTCCCCGTGCCCTCAGCTCCTCTCCTGTGACATTGATTCTAACTAAGCTGAACGTGTCACAAAGTCGCAGCGAGAAAATGTACAAATTAAACATACATTCATTAATCAGCGAGAGGGAGAGAGTCAGTGGGGATATCTACATCTCCGGGTGCACAGGGACACTCCCTTGGTCTCAACACATCCACACAAATCCGGATGTTGTGTCTAAGTCGATAACAGCAGACATTATTTTCCACGCCACTGATGTGTGTATAAGTGTGCATGCTGCTCTCAGTTTAGCATCTTGTACTGTACAAGTGGCATTCCGAGTGGGAATAACTTGGATCATCTCCAGCTTGTGCTGAACGTGCTCCTTGATGCGTAGGCCTGTAGATGTGTCTGCGTGGGTATGTGAAATCAGCAGCACTTGCCGCTAAGCAGGGTGTACTCTTATTAGTGTGCATGCAAGCGCCTCTCCTGCCATGTCCCATCCACAGCTCCTTTATCGCAGGAAGGGTGGGGTGAATCATTTCCGCAGATGCCTTTCCCATCAAAAGCGCTTATCGACAAAGCTAACATTAGTAAAGCAGTTAGAAAAAAATGACTTGAAGGCGAGGTAGGGCAATAGAAATCCCTGGGCGAGTGGACAAAGGGCGCTGTGATGGTTCGGAGACCCAAGGCCCTCTGCGTCTGAGAGAGTTTCAGATGAGTATCTGGCAGATAGAGAGCCCAGATTCAAACGCACAGCTTGAGAACACCCCCGCCGCCTCCAACACACACGCACACACATACTACTACTAATTTGCCGTCTGCTGCAGCTCTCAGCGTCCACAGCAACGACCACGACCATACCGCTGTGCCATTGTCGCTTAACTAAGGCCCAAGTAAAGGGGAGGACAAAGTTATCTGCAAGCTCCCCAAGACAGCCAAAGTAATCAGTGGTGTCTTGTTTACCACAATGGGAGAGGGACACAGAGATAAATTGATGTATGATGAGAATGAGAGAGCAGAAAGGAAGAGAGAAAGAGAGCC